ATGCACCCTATTCTTACCACAGGATGCCCATTTGGTTTTTCCATTTTTCGCACAATAGATTCTGGCCTGCAAGGACGTTGACTTATTGTCCTTTTTGTTTGGTGTTTACAGATAGGTCAAGGCAGTGAAGATTTCGCCTGCAGTCCCAAATGAAATCTTCAAGCCACTGTGACATGTTTGTCCAATATGATGGACGAGAGCAACAGGCGATTCAGAAACTCAAACACGTTTGAGAATTGTCCTCGATGCTTTTCGAGCCAGTACACCAAATGGGTGCCCATTGTGTTCTGAACAGCCACCTCCTTTTCAAAATATAGGCCAACGTGAAGGTTCAGCATGAATGGCCTTAAGATATTGTGAATATTTAGGGGTCACGTTTTGCTTTAATACCCCCTTTCAACCCAGATACTATTACAATTTCAAATCTAATCCACGTAAAGCTTACAACAAGCAAGACCGCAGGCCAGCGGAAACGTCAGAGTATTTAGTCACAACCTAATAAAGGACATTTGCAGAAAGTTAGCACAAAATTTCATTTCTAAGTCTGTAGATTCATTTGTGAATTTCATTCCATTTCTACGTCTGTAGATTCATTTGTGAATTTATCATCTTAAACTTGCAGTATGCAAGATGGGTTCTAGTGTACATTCTTTTCTTGTCCAAACCCTGTTCAACTTTGGGTGACAGCATGTCTACAGGCACTGAAATATGTATGTTTACACATTTTGTTCACTGTAGTTTTTGTAGGAATTTCCTGAAATATGACTATGATATCAAGTTATGAAAACAGTTGAACTTAATCATCCACCCCTGAGGGGGCTCCCTTATAAAAAAAAAATAACACGGATTGTTGTGGTTTATAAGGTGTGAAGGCCCCATTGCAGTGTTTCCTCTAAGGATATTATTGCATAGCGTGACCTCATCTCCCTATGCGGATCGTTACAGCCACTACGTTTGTCAGCTGTCAGTCAATTCAGTCTCACTATTTTGATCGAGTTTTAGGAGGGAAAAAAAACTTGTTTATTTTCATATTTTGCTAATGACCTTTAGCACATTAGAATAGAAGAAACTCGAGAGGTGTTAGGAGTTGGTGAGTGATGCATTACTCAAAGTAGGTCATGGATCTCTGTCTGGGTGGTTTGTGAAAATTGTCGGCAGTGAAAGATGTTTGGAAATATGAGTATATATCCAAACTGAGTGAAGTCCTACCACATGTGGGAGGCAAAAAGGCCTCTCCCACTTTATCTGTAGGGACTAGTTCTCCACTGCATACTTCTTTTTTTTAAGAACTGACTACAAAAGAGGAAGGGGCATTACCCTCCTGAGAACCAAAGTAAAATAACATTTCCTCGAAGTCAGACGACCTGTTTTCATTTTTGTAACTAGGTGTAGGCCTAGTTCATGTACACCTGCGGATATAGAAATTTTCCAACTTGGGGCAGTCCTCCTTTCGGGGCGTCAGACCCGAGAGCATGTTGACAGGATTTTTTTCCCCAGACACCCGCCCTCCGCAAAATTGAAAAGCAGGGAGGGGGGGGGGTGCTAGGCTGGACACCATCTTCCTGTAGGGGGTGCTGTTCAAAGCGGACTAGACAGTATTGGAGAATAGTCGGTACTCATTAGCCCTACGACGCCTGTGTATGTTGAGCGTATTATAGTACTAAAGTCAGTAGAAATAACTATGGGTAAAAGGTTCGGGGGGGGGGGGGGAATTTCAGCAGCCAAAGGGGGGGGGGGGGGCTTGCAATCCCTCCCCCATTGTGAGTGCCTGCATGCATTTTTATTCATTTACAACTGAAAGATGTACATGACAAGCAACACAATCCAGTTAACCTTACAAACACTCAGCTAAAATAAAATCCTTTTGAATGAACATGACTTTCTTACAAAACCCTTACAAAAACATGCGCACAGCAGCACCGTAGAAGTGAACAAAATAAAGCACACAGCTTTACTAACAAAGTAAAAATCAACAGCAAGTACATGTAGTTCATTTCAATCTGAAGCAATGATTATGCTTTTCCCGAGTTCCCTGATCTTTGCCAACAGAAAGGCAGAAGAAAGCAAACCATTCTTCCCCAATCCTTGACTCGAGGCCGAAAAAAAAAATATCCAAACACCAATGACTATACTCTAACATAAGTAAACCACACAGATTATTTGAAGAGAGAGGTTTGAACTTGACGATTGGAGTTCATGTGACCGGTAGAAACAGCCAGGGGTCTCCACTCCGACCGGTCACATATCCTACGGGAATTTTTTTTTTTCCAGTAATGGTGCATTAAACTTTCAATGCGAATACCAAATGTTTCTATTTTAAAGGCAGGAAGTTCACAAACAGGTGAGCAGGCTTCAAAAGGATATGGAGTTCTTTTGACATAATGTAGCTTCTGTTTAGACAATTGTACGCTACATATCAGGGTTAGGATTTGGCTAGCTGCATTATAAACAGTAAAGCAATACTCCATTCATGACATGTATAACTTGACCTGTGTTTGGGTCATCCCATAAATTTGGGGTTCATTTTTCCCCGTGTCCCTGTTACATCTGACATAAGATTTGTGAATTCAGGACACATTCTCTTATGCCTTCTTCTATCTCCAAAAGTGATTATGTAAAGTTGTACCGTACATGTATAAACAAAATAGTCATTTTTTAATGACACTTGCATGGTAAATTACTCAAGTCAGGTGTACACATGGTCACAAAAGAAGTCACACTTTTGGACCACAACTTTATGGATTGACCATTTGACTGCTTTGGGAGAAATCTGTCAGGAAAAAGGTCACATTATTTTAGTCAATCTATAGTGTAATATTTTTTTAGTAAAAAAAACTCTAGTTGAGCGTGGAAATAACAGCATACACTACCAGAAGGCCTGTCATTTAAATCCTATCCAAATCTGTTTGTGTATAAAGCGCACTCTGCCTCATTTACAGAATAAGCAAGCTTTTGCAGAAGCCGATACGCCCGCTGCTATCCAATAACAGGAACCCAACACCAGAAACCTGTGCTAAGGTATTCCAGCAACTGGTGCCCAGAATGCGGGGAACCAGCGTTGGAAAACAACAATGCCAAAGTCCTTGCAGGGAACTTGTTAGTGCGTAGCCTGTGGGCTGGTAACTCAATCGCCGCCAGGGAAAATAAAAACCAAACAAATCCTGTATTCTGTTTAATTACCTTTTCAAAGTTTACTGAGACTTGTGCAGGTACAGAAGTAAGTTTGCATTATTAATGCTCTTTGTTAAAAATTTATACTGTGATCAAGGATAGGCTTTTTGACAATTTGAGAAAAGTGTGAGAAAGATTTTGCTATGACAGATACCTCATGACCTCCTGACTTTGGATAAAGAGCAGTCAGCTTTTCTTCTTTATATAAAATTTCTTAGTTATTTTGAGATGTATTTTACATTGTAGTATCACTATCCATGTGTTTTGTTTGATATGGAGTTCATTATTTGTTGGGTTTTTTTGAAAATTTTGTTTGAGAATTTGTTGTTTTTTTCCTACTAATAAATACAGAAAATGCAGCCTTCTTTTGTCAAGATGATACATTTATCTCCACTCTAGATAGCATAAATCAAATTAGGTTTTGCCCATCGACTTTTAAACACTGTATACTCAGTGTGTTACCTGCCTTGCCCTTTCATCCTGTAAACATTTTACAAACAAAAGAGCAAGAAAAAATAAATTGCTACGTCAGATTCCAACAAGCAAACCGACCCCGTTAGCTCGGTGGTCGAGTGGTAAGACATTTGCACTAGAAAGCAGGAGGTCGTGGGTTCGAGTCCCACCCGAGTGATTTTTTCCAACTTTCACTCGGGAGGTAACACACTGAGTATACAGTGTTTAAACGTCGGTGAAGGGCAAAACCTCATTTGATTTATATCACCCCGACGCAAAATTCCATCTTAAAACTAGATAGTATAAAGAATTGAAAGTTGTGACTGACCAAATGTTCAGATGGTTTGAGCCAATCAAAATTCTTCTCCTATGCATCAACAAATTTACTTTCTCCAGTTACATAAGGAAAGAGCAGACAGACTCAATACTACAAAAGACAGATAATCTTTGCCAGGGGGCAAGGCGAGATCGATCCTAACGGCTTGCCGCCAATGCAGCTCAACCCCTTACACAGCCCAATGTATGATTTGCAACACTTCTAATCCCCAAATTATTTGCCAGGGACATAGGAAACTTTCTCATGAATTCTTCCCCGGCACTGGCAATGTCTCCAATTCTACATGGTAACAAGGATAGTTTACAAGTTCCCTGAATGTTAAAAGGGAGGTAGTTATGAAGAAAATATTCAACTTTCATTTTCAATTGGGATGGAATGCAACAGTCTTCTGCAAACTTGAAACACACCGGATATAAATCTAAGGAATTTAATGGAGCATCTATCATTGGATTAGAGCCCAACATTTTCAAATCACCCGATCACCTCTGGAATGCAGAGGAGAGATCACCAACCAAAGTTTGATGGGAACAGAAAAAAAAACACAGCAGGCTCATAGTTGGTACAAGGTACAAGACTGGTTCATTACACCAGCACAATAGCAGAACAAGCTGGCGACATGGATATCTTGAATAGACGCTAAGCCCTGCTCTAATGAAAGTGTGTGTGTGATGGTCCATAAGGAGTCAATTCTGGGTCCCTGTGTTCAAGCTCCACAGGTGCGTAATCCAGGATGAATGTTCGTTACCCTGCTTTATTTTTGTCTCAGTTCTTGAAGAGGGCTTTAGATGAGAGCCTGTGAATGGCAGATGGTATATAATCTGACATGCCAAGAGAGAATGCTGGACAATGAGAGGCTTATCTAGCGTCACAATGGACGATCAATAAACATCCAATGGGGAGCTTGGATACCAATCAATAAACAAACTAACTGTGGTAGCACTTGTTGAAATATGTGTGTGTATTCATTAACAAGCGGCTATGACCCTTGACCCAAGTGTCAGTTATGCAAAATGTGAGGCGTCAGATTGATGTCTCCTACCTTCATGCTGAATGAAGTTACACATTTTTTTTTTACACTATCAGACAATACGCATTGTGCCCATTGTGGACCAAAAATAATACATGTAAATGTAATAAAAACCACTTCAAATTTACCTGCATAATGAGCACAGACTTACACATAAGGAATCCAACTATAGATCTACGTACCTACCGTACATGTACATGTACACGTTATGTACAAAAGCATGTGTACACAGCATTAATTTTTAATGTACACATGTACGGGGGTACATGTTCATATACATGTACTTCATACATGTATGGTCATATAAACAAACAGGATGGTAGATATGTGAATGATAAATTTATGTACATGTGCTTCAAAGTTCAATGTTTAATAAATACATGTACACCATTTACAATTTAGTCAAATCGGGGCTGTGAAGTGCATCATTCAAAGTTTCTCTCGCCAAAAAGAAAAGGTTTAGAGAACTAAGTTACACCTATTACAGCTATACATCATGTGTGACTCCTCTCCGACAGGAAATCTCTTGATCAAAAACATAATGTCTCAAATAAAAGATTACAGTTTGAACCTCTTATTAAGTTAAAGTGCACAAGTGTGCCACATTTACTCCAGGAAACGTGGCAATGACAACATGGCGCCATGTCATTTTGCCAAAGAATCATGACTATGAAGGCGTAAGTGATAGACAATGACTGCACACACCCAATGACTGGTTTTCATCAAAACCTGTATGAATTGTTGGGGATGACACACAAAGCTGTGATAAGCCTAAATTATAAACACATGGATTGGGAGGTGATTTCATAGCATCCAACACCGGCTCTGGATTAGTTTTTTGAAATATGGTGGACACAATACCGGTACATGAATGAGGGCGCTACATGGCTTGGGCCAAAAAAAAGTCTCTGGTTTCTGGTATGCGCACGCGTCGCCGTAGCCATGGCGTCGGCAAAATGAACAAGTTTTTTTTTCAATGAAAGATGATGTCTCAAAACCGCCAAACTCACTGGTTTGACTGGAATCCTGCTGCTGCACAATTTTAACGTGTTTTTAGATGGGGTTATGATCGAGAATAAGCTTTATGTGGCCTCTCTGGTCCCCCATAATATTGCACTAAGTTTAGTCGGGCACCATTTGCAGTCATCAGCCGACATTTGAAGCAAAAAAAAAAGGTAAAAAAAAAAAAAAAAAGCCGCATCGCCACACCACTTTTTGGGCAAGCTCCATACCAGAAACCGGGGACTTTTTTTTTTGGCCTTGGGTAAAACTTTTTACATTTTCCCCAAAATAGTGACCTCTTATTGTGGCAGCCATGAAAAGCTTACGAACTTGGCAGCCAAAGTCAAGATTATTGCTCAATTACGTATGCACGAAACACCATATTAAATAACAGGCTTTTGTACCATACAAAATGAAATTGAATTGAACAATGACAAGGATTTTTTTTCATAATAAAATAAATTGAATCTGTTTTAAGGGGGCAGTTGAATAGCAAATATCTGCAGCATTTTCAAATTGTGTAAATATTACACACACAAAAAAGAATACTGACTTTTGTTGGCATTTTTGAGTCCGGGGGATTCGTGTGTCAGAAAGGGGAGAAAAAAAAAACACCGCAGGCAACTTTTTTGAGTTTATGAATAACCCTGAAGCTCTTTTGTCCAAGGTCGTTTACCCAAGTTTGCACTTACAACTGTATTTATAAAATTTTGATACATGCAAAGTAACAAAAGCAAACATTTCTAAAGGAACGACAATGCGGGTAGGCGGGAAATCTATCGAGTTTATGAACCATGTCGCAAACTTTTGTTGCGCATTTTTTTTGGGGAGTTCAATTTCAGAATTCAAAATTGATTTTTTTGTTTTCCCCCCACAAACAACCATGTCCACGGCGATGCCAATATTGGTTGTATATTGATATTTTTTTTCCTTTGGGGGAAAAAAATCTCAATATGAAATGATGATAAATGCCGACCTTGCAAAAACTGACAATAAACCACCAAATTTGACAGTAAAATCAAGGTACAAAAGAAAAATACAGCAAAAAGCAGTGTCAATGACTTCCACAAACTCCACACTCGACGTCATAGTGCAAACAGCGACCGCTGTTAAATTAAAGGATGAGTCTGAAATTAATCTTACCGAAAGATTGCGAGACATGTGTAGAGCAAATAAGGGTAGGCTTACAACTGCTAAATCAACACGCAAATCAGTATCATATCAATTGCAAGTGTGAAGTTAATGATTAATGTCATAAAGCGATTATATTATTAACAGGACTGTACATGGATAAGTCTGGTCAACAATTTATTGGTTGGCAGTGGAATGTCTGGGAATGAATGACCTGTATCCCAATTCAATGATAACTCAGCTTAAATGAATCAAATCCTGTTTAATCCATGTACAACAGGATTAGTTTCTATGTACATTTTTATTTTTCAAATCTGACCACATCTAACAACTTTAGATAAAATTTTAAAGTGTGGTTTAGTTGAAAACTTAAGATAAAACTAAGTTCTCAGAACTACAGAGTCAGAATCTTATTAGTCAAATGACCGATAGCCTCATGCTTGAAAACAACTGATAAAAATTCTGTCTTTGATTTAAAGGGAATATACATCATTTGCTTTTGCTGTAATTTTCAGAAATGGATGGAATTGGGGGGTTGGAAATATAAAGCAAATATAGTTACACTGACTTTTTGGAGCTTTTGGGTTCGAAAATGCTATAAAAACCAAGAAAAACGATCATTTTCCTATAGTCTGGTTCCCTGACTCCATATAAGAAGAAACAGAGCAGTTTACATACATTGGGGAATTGTAAGGTCAGGGAACCAGTCTAGCTGGCTCGTACCCGTTCATAGGTTTGTAATCGATTGCAAACAAGTGCAATGGTCAATTGGGGCCAGTATTTGAAAAAAAGCCAGTTGTTTCCAACGCTGATCGGCCGATCAGCGTTGGAAATTGATACAAAAATACCACTTTTCTTGAAAATGACAGTATACCAGGTGCCATAATTTTACAGGATGCTTTAGACTGTCATTTACCAACATCCTATTAAGGTATTTCGCAAAAACTTGGTAGTTTTATTTTTCGATATTTGCAAATGTTGTATATTCCCTTTAAGTTTGAATGCCATGCACTTAATTCCACATATGTCCATGAAATGTGAATTCAAATTTTCATGCACAAAATTAACATTAAAATTTAATGTGTGTGTTAACGAGAAACAATGGTGAAGGTCCCCTATAATGACAACAAGATGTGGGTGATTGCACTTTTGAATGCTAATTTAGATACCGGTAAATAATACATACATGTACATGTACATATGTACATCAAAGCTGCCTACATTTAAGCATTCTGCACATTATGTTAATTTAATCATAAATTTTGCCAAATGACATAAAGGCCCAGCCATGAACAAAATTAAGTCACGGTTGAAAATACAAAGTGCAGGTAAAGAGCCAAGGTTATAAAAGCCATTAGAATTTAAGTCTAAACAAACATCAAAATAAATAAACAGTAACTAATCGGGAAAAAAGGTATCAATCTTTTCCCTCCACGGAAGGCCCTTTTTAAGAAAGAAGGGCATCTTCAAGATCAGATGTACAAATGATGTCAGTGCTCAATGAAAAGAAACCACAGTGCTGTGTAAGGTTTCTTTTGAAATGCTGCCCTCAAGTGAAGGACCCCACTTGAAATAAGCTTAGCCGGGAATAAACACATTTGTTGGTAGTCACAAGCACCAATAACATTCCACACAACGTCTCAGTTAATTGTTCTCAGCTGAATTGTTTACCTAGGTCAGCAACTAAAAAAGTCGCCAGAGAACTGAATCTGCCTTCTTCAGGAGTACGCACAGGGGGAAAAAAGCTGCATCAGCTCTGCAGCAAACTTTGTCTACATTTTTTTGTCAAATTTGTGAACTCGTACCAGGTATTTTCGGAATTTAAACCGGGGCAAATGTTGTTTTCGGTTTTCCAGTTGAAAGTGGACACAAAAGCTAGCGAGGTTCCGGTATGCATCATCATTAATTTTACTTATATCCACAATCACAGTTGCTCAGTGCATACCAAATGAAATTAGAAAGTGCCCACTTCCCGGCACTACTTTCACACAGTGCCAAGTTGGTTAAGAGTCGTCTTATAGATTTCATTACGGTGAATAGCTCCTAATTGGTACTTCGCATCCTCCTGTGAGCTCTGGTTAATACCACTCACAATGACAAGACGCACCACACAATTCCGCCTGGATTAACTTCATTAAGCCAAACAATGGGGATAAATGTCCACAAGACATTAAAGGCCTGCACAGACCCATCTTGATGAGAGTACAGGCCTGCTCCCACTGCTGACAACAATCGGAGGAAGCTTGGTCCAATTTGAGTCAAGAAGTGAACATCCTTTTCAAAGACACTGATGGAGTCTGTTGTGATCCGCCATTAAATGTGGGATCCTGCAACTAGCTCTATGGATCCACATACTACAGATTTCAGGACTATTAGTGGCAGGCAGTGAAGTGAGCTTGGCTATTCAGACTACAGGGTGACAAGTATGGTCAGGCCCCTTTACACCCACACAATGTCTGGTGTCATGGAGTCACCGTTCCCGATTCTAAATTACCCCGGTTGAGAATGGTGTCGGGGCTGCTGACATTCAGAGGGCCATTCAACGACCTTTTTTTAAGGTGTGCTTTGCGTGACAGCAGGGGGGAAATGTCCATTTTGAGTTGCTGCTTTTGTCATGGATGATTGGTCAATGGCCATTTTTCAGATATCTTCACATAATAATACAGGGGCCGAATATGCTTGAATTTCTATAAGTTGGCAAGCCGATTTATGTCTTTATGGAGAAACTCTGTAAAATGCCTGGATGGTTTTGCAAAACGTGTTCACAAACTGATGCCAGACTGTCTCCTCTCGTCACCAATGAACACATTTACATACACATGTAGCTCTGTCTCATTCAAGAACTTTGGTCAACACAAACATTTTATGATGATACAGGCAAAGGT